GCTCAGAGATCTAAGGCTACATGGTCGTAACATATACACTTTTTTTTTTTATGTCAACCCAATTAAAAGCGACATAATTTGAAGATTCGTTATTCTTCCAATTGTCCGGTTCAGTGTTTTTCGATGTCATCAGAAACGTTCTCTATCCAGTACGTCTGTTATCGTTGCAAACATAAGTCAGGTTCTCTTAACTCTTTTATCTTTTAATGAAAAATTTAAACTGTTAATCAGAGTCGGTCGGGTACGTTATTGAATCATGCAATCGTTCAATGAACTATGCATTCCGTTTGTAATCTACGTGATTTTCAATCTGAGATAATACCGTTGCCTAGGATATATAGCGACCTATCACGTGAGTTCCGACATCACGTGAGATTTCCTCCTGCTGTAGGTTCAAGGTAACTGGATGATCTATAAAGCGGTGAATGACTACATGTATATCCTAGGGCCTTATTACTGCTATATGGAGCATTGTTTCCTTGTTTAAATTTGACAATATTAATTTTGAGCATTTTATCATTAAATATTTTGATTTAAATGTTGCCTGTGGCATTTTAACTGTTTTTATTTTGAGCTGATTTCTAAAAATGAAGTTTATTATTTAAATGTAAATCAATCTAAATGCATACCACTAACACAGCCGTATTGTCGCTTATACGTTTTCTGTTTACGTTTTCTTAAAGAAGGTGTCTAGATATCCTGCACGAGTTGTTTTCCAATTAGCTAACAGCTATTTCATTCTTTTTGAATAATTCTTTTATGATGTCAATACATATATCAGGACTATAAGTTACCGAAAATTTGCAAATCCAAGTCTAACGAAACAGTGACAAAGATATTTCTGATGCTGGATTGCAAACGAATGCAACGACCAACAAGAAAAGTTGATCCCCAGTACTTACGCTACATTTAACAACGACTATTGAATCTTGTGTTTATAGTGTGGTGTCTCTTGTGTTTATAGTGTGGTGTCTCTTGTGTGTAAAGTGTGTTGTCTCTTGTGTTTATAGTGTGTTGTCTCTTGTGTTTATTGTCTAATGGTTTCTGTGTTTATTGTGTGGTGTCTCTTGTGTTTATAATGTGATGGTTCTTGTGTTTATAGTGTGTTGTCTCTTGTGTTTAAAGTGTGTTGTCTCTTGTGTTATTAGTGTGGTGTCTATTGTGTTTATTTTGTGGTGTCTCTTGTGTTTATTGTGTGATTGTTCTTGTGTTTATTGTGTGATGTCTCTTGTGTTTATAGTGTTGTGTCTCTTGTGTTTATATTGTGGTGTCTCTTGTGTTTATAGTGTGTAGTCCCTTGTGTTTATTGTGTGATGGTTCTTATGTTTATTATGTGGTGTCTCTTGTGTTTATAGTGTGGTGTCTCTTGTGTTTATAGTGTGGTGTCGCTTGTGTTTATAGTGTGTTGTCCCTTGTGTTTATATTGTGGTGTCTCTTGTGTTTATAGTGTGTAGTCTCTTGTGTTTATAGTGTGGTGTCTCTTGTGTTTATAGTGTGTTGTCTCTTGTGTTTATAGTGTGTTGTCGCGTGTGTTTATAGTGTGGTGTCTCTTGTGTTTATATTGTGGAGTCTCTTGTGTTTATATTGGGTGTCTCTTGTGTTTATAGTGTTTATTGTGTGTTGTCATTTGTGTTTATAGTGTGTAGTCTCTTGTGTTTATTGTGTGATGGTTCTTGTGTTTATTGTGTGGTGTCTCTTGTGTTTATAGTGTGGTGTCTCTTGTGTTTATATTGTGGTGTCTCTTGTGTTTATAGTGTGGTGTCTATTGTGTTTATAGTGTGTTGTCTCTTATGTTTATAGTGTGTTGTCTCTTGTGTTTATAGTGTGTTGTCTCTTGTGTTTATAGTGTGGTGTCTCTTGTGTTTATTGTGTGATGGTTCTTGCGTTTATAGTGTGTTTTATCCTGTTTTTATAGTGTTGTGTCTCTTGTGTTTATAGTGTGTTGTCTCTTGTGTTTATAGTGTGGTGTCTTTTGTATTCTTATCGTGTTGTCTATTATATCTATATTTTTCTAGATTTGCATTTCAACACGATATATTGTTGCTCGTACAAGAAAAATAAAAACTTATATAAAACACGAATAAGACTGCCATTCACATCCTGTTTTAATTCAAACACTAGTAGATCACGTCCTGTATAAAGGGAATCTACTGTTCCTGTCCTGTTTTATAAATGCAAATATTGCGCATCTCCTGTACCGCCATGTGTAATTCGGAAACTTAGTAATATAATGGAAGGTTTCGAAAACTTTTCCAAAAAGGTACGTACTATTCATATTGTAAAGTGACGTCATCTTAGGTCTTTTCAGGTGGACACAATTTTGTAATCAATTAAGGGTTTTCCATCTCGATTCCGATGTCTTTTAATGAGACACATATTGATGTGCTGATTTTTGATCGGTGTATAGCATCTGCGGTAATTGCCATAAATACAATTTTATTTCATAGCTTGAATAGCAAAATATGCATCGCAGCGATTTCTTTTCTTTTGAAGGGCATTTTCCATCAAGAATTTTTGAAACCATCCGTTGTCGTGTTTTTTTGTTTTTGGTTCGTTTCTGTTCCTTTTAGTTCGTCGCAAAACTGTCTATCGACAAGGTTTTGTGAATCAGCCGTTCCCATTCAAAGTGTCATGATAATGATGACGTAAGCAATGTAAGTTATTGCCCTTTAAAGGCGCTAAAGATGGTATGTAGTAAAACCTCGTTATACTGCCACTATTTGTCCGTATAAATGATGGCGTTATAAAGAAGTTTGGCGATAAATCGAGTGAAACATAAAGGAATTCTTAGGAAAAAGCAAGAAAGAAGTGGCGTTATATCGAGGTTTTACTGTATTAACCTTTTCAGTTGTAATTTAATCCATGGCCTTTTTGTGTTGATTTATCCCTATACCTCTATAACAATTAATATTAATTATTTTCGTGCATAAAGTGAGACGAAACGGAGTGTTTACGATAATCTTTCCGTGAAATAATGAATTTTATAGTTACCTTTTTTTAGCGCTCTTCAAAAACCAATAGAGACGTTGATTATAATAAATAGTGATATAGAAAAAAATGTTCAAGCCTAAACTTATTATTTCGCTTATCGACAAGTTATCAAAAAATGTGTATTTTTCTTGAAACTTTGAGGCAATGAAGTGAACAAACTGAAAATATAAGGATTATTTTATTATCTTGTTTATGTGATTTGTGGTGTAACTATATTATGGGATAGGATTAGCAGTATCCATTTGTGACCAAGAATTAAGTATATAAGCCGTTTAATTAACGCTTACTAAATACAGAAAAACGTCACGTTGCCAATGGCGCGTTCCATTTTAGGGGAGAAATCGACCTGATGGCAGTTTTTTTAAAAAAATCTAATGATAGACCTTCTTCATTCGTTGCAGACATTACAAGGCCATGAACTCACAGTCAGTGCTAGAATGGCTATCTCTGAAGACAATTTAGCATCCTTACATACGTACACTGTTATACAAGTGATTTGTGTCAGAGTTATCCCCTTTAAAGGTTTTATAACGCAAATGGCAACAGCGCATCATTTCGCTATACCTTCAAAATTGTCTTCAAGTGATCAACATTGTCTGAGCTATTATTCTTAACAAGAAATAATATAAGTGTCTTTTGTTTTCGAACTCTTTTGAATAAGGAGATGCGAATCATCATTAACGGTAACCCAGGTTACTTATACTGTTACGTTTCATCCTAACATAACTCTCTTGAAAACATAATTTCTGTTCATGTGATTTATTTACGGAACCTGCTTCAGCAGGTTTAATTTAGAACGATTTTGAAGTTATTCTTTTAAATCAACAAAATGACATATTTTGCGAATTAAAAGAATATCGTAAAAGCAGGAAAAAGCATCATTATTTTTGCGCTTTGACTACCAGGCACGTTGAAGCGGAGTAAAATACATTACACTTCATAATAGCCTACAACAATAAAAAGATGCTTAAATAGTATTGCAATATTATCAAAAAAAAGAGAAAAAGACACTGTTTGATTTGCTGGAAAAGGTTAACGCCCTCAGGTAGCAATTGCAGGTTTCTTCTACATACTCCAAGTATCAGTCGTAATGAAAACCACGATCAGTCCTCTCGTGGAAGGAAATTGCTAGGATGTTGAAGATAATCCCCTGTGAAAGTAAGCAATAATTCGTTATCTTTGGTCTACAGCACCACTTTACTCCCGTTAATCGCGTTAGATATACTCGCATATCTCACTGCCGGTCCAGCATCCTAAGGGTATTATAGAAAATATGCTTGGCCGAACAACGGAAGCGAGTTATGGTTTATTATGTAAATCTCATCTCTCTTCACGGCAGGATGAATTTATTTTTTCTTGAAAAGATGCAAGTATTGTGAGACTTTAGACCAAGACTCAGCGGTCTCACAAAAGCATTGACCTCAATTCTTCATAAAATCATTGATTTGTTAAGGTTTGGCAACGACGACTCCAAATGATGGGGTGATACATCAAGTATTTCCCATGAGAAATCCTTGTTTATGTTGTAAAACTAATCATAATCCCGTATAATCCTGGCCATAAACGTCTATCATTTCCCATTTCCTAACCTTTCTCCGCTGTACTTTGCACACGTGAACAGCTTACCTGTATAATACCTGTACATGCCTGTACACTATACCTGTGTTATTCCTGTACACTATACTTGTGCACCATACCTTTGTCATACCTGTACACTTACATGTACACCATACTTGTGCCATACCTGTACACTATACCTGTTTCATACCTGTACACCATAATCGATAGGACCGAGTACGACATGCTAAATATTTATTTAAATCAATTTTCGCTATCGATTTCTTTAGCTTGATATAATCTGTTAAAAAACCCAATTGTCATTCATGAATAAAAACACAGATCTAATCGATATATGTTAATCTCGATATAAATATAGAATTTCACATGGCCGTTTATCGATCTGTTTACACTTCACTGCCGTAAATAAAAAAGGCGTACTCGAGTGTTTTAAGATATGTTTATTGCTTCAATGATAAAACGAAATCCATAAAGAACGAATATGTACACGTCAAATGAAAAAACAAGGATCAATATTAACCTGAAATGTCGTAAAATATCATCCAACACAATAGTTTATAGATGAGGATGAAAAGTTCTCAGAATGACTGGCCTCGCTTGTTAGTTTAAACAATTTTCTGAACATGCATAATTCCGGTGTTGTTTACAAAAAAATACGGAGACACACAACAAACAGTGTCTCTTGATATAAGATGAACAATCAAAAATGTGAAAGTCAAAATAACTTAAAATGAAAACGATTTCGAATACTGAAATTAACAAATCTTAAGCTAACAATTTTTAATTTTGAAAGAGAAATTGTCATTAGTTGCTGAAAATAGTATCGAGTCGCTTTTGTGGACAATATGCAATAAAAGCAAGTAAGCGTTTCTATATGAAAAACATAGATCAGCTTTCATCTGTAATATTGACAGACAGTCGTATCCTGTCATAATAAAAAGGAACGTTTCAGATGGAAGAATACTTCAGCAAAGGCTGTTATGATTATGAAAGTCAGAGACTATTTTTGATGAAATAACAAACATCTCGAACACTTTCACATACTGTTATGAATTATCCTACTTAACACATAGTCTGAAAAAAGGATTACTTGTGATTTTGCTGAAAGTCTACGATTCTTCACATCACACCTAAGACTGGCATTGTCCGCTCGGCTGATGGTCTGTCCGCCCATCAGCTGATGTAATGCCAGTAGTATTTGTCTTCATGTGTGTGCATTAAAATGGATTAGTAACATTGGACGATCAGAAATAGTAGAAACTCTGTTTAAGGCTTTCCGAATTATATATGTAATATAACAAATTGTCATTTTAATGGCTTTTCTCTAGTTTTGTCATTCTCGAAACTCCGGTGGTTACGCTCATTGGTCTCAGGTTAAACAAACATTTCCAATCGCTAGGCTGATGCATGTCCTTTGCAAATCACGGAGGAGTGACACTCGACTTCAAAGCCAGTCAATTTTATCGTTACGCGACCGATCGATTCTTTTGCTGTACATCAAAGGATCAAACTTGTCTTATCGTCTCATCCACACGGTGGTGCACACTGAGTCTTCGATTTTGCTATGACATATTCCAGGGGTGCAAAGAGCGAAAGTGGACCAAACACCTGAGTATCGAGGATGCAGTTTTGTCAAAGTATTCTGAAGTTAAGTAGGTTAGTTTTAAAAAACCCACATGGGGTATATTGAGACAATAGGAAATGACAATAACTAATGGCAGTACAAATACTTATAGTAATGGTGCTTCGACCGAACCACGTGATCTGAAAAAACGTAAATATAATCGATCTCAACATTAAACGTTTGCTACATGATAAGAAACTAAATGACAAACGGCGACGATGGATAACGAAATAATTGGTATTGATCACAACGATTCCCACACCCTGTGTGATTCTGCATGTCCACAGGACCTTGTTTTTCATGCCCGAGGAGACCTTTGTAAAAGTAAGCACGAGCGGGCTGGACATGATTGTTTCAATTAATAAAATCCCATCAGCAATGCCTGACGCCGAAACGCCGAAATTGCAAAAGCACTAGAAAAAATTGTATATGAAAATAACCAAAAACATATCTATCCGAGTAAATGCGGTATAAGGCAAGGTTCGGTATTGAGGCTTAATATTTATATAGTTTAAAAATAATGAACAAAATCAAGAAACGGCTCCTATTTATATCGGCACGTTAAATTGTTCCACATTAACAATTGATGTTTGGTCCTTATGATTTATTCAGGCCAGAATAACGCAATGTGAATGAAATTACTGTGAAACCTGTCTGATATGACACTACGTGGGGACCATTAGTATACAGAACACACGTTTAGCAAGACCTAAAATGTTGTTGGAATAGTAAACACAAATTACGAAGTATCGTGTTTGGTTAGTCATCGAAAATCTGTAAAAGAAAATAAGGTCGATATTGGAGAAAACTCTCTTACATTTATATAGCCTCTTAAGAATCCCTGTACCAATTCACTGTGTTTTTTCTTACTGAGTATATACAATAACTTTTCATTAACTTCCGTTTTGATATATCTTCACTGAATAGATAGGTTTATCGGTTAGAGCGATATTATCAATATCTGTAGTCCCAGGTTCGAATCCCGGTCTAGCCAGTTGGATTTTACACTCATTATCAAAGCTATAGTCATGTTGGAAAGAAAGAGGTTTCCAATACTTAGCTACAGTTTTTTGCCAGTGGTATGGAGAAGCTTAAGATAAAAACCAGGTTGAAAATGATCTACGTCATACTAAAATGATGTTTATGAACAACAAATATATTGAAAAAAAGGTAAGAACATTATCTCAACTTTTTAAGAAAAAAGGATTGATAAAAACAATCGATTCACTGAAAGAAAAGAAAGAAAAATCACATTTCACGTTAAAACATTCACTTCCATTAAAACGGTTATGCTAAAGATTTTTTTTAAAAAACATTTGAATTATCTACAATGGTACCGACAATTCACACCATTGTTTGACCATTAATTTTTATCGTTGTAGTCGACCTTGAACTTTTACACCGTAACTTTTTGACGTAAATATACTGAAACGCCTTCTGGAAGTCATTGTTGAAGATTGTGTAAATGATAGGGTTGAGACTGGAGTTCACGTATCCGAGAACCACTACAAACATCTCAACAGTGGCTGTTCCGTCCTTTATACAACCCGGACAGAACGGCATGATAACATAATAGAGGAAAAACGGAAGCCAACAAAAAATAAACGCACCCATGATGAAACCAAGAATTCGAGCTGCCCGTCTTTCTTTAGAAAGAGAAATTTTCTGCTTTTGCTCGAAGAATGTAGATATTTTTTGAGCTGATTCCGGGTTATTGTTCACCGCTAGGTATACACGTGTTTCCCCAGATGATCCACCCGTGTTCTTTGTAGTCACCGTTTTGGACGTGGCTGTTGTGATTGTGTTCTCCTTTGCCACAGGCTCAGCGCTCGCCTCAGACGCGGGGTCACTGCTGATATTTGGGCTAGGCCGAACTCCAGACATGCAAGAAAGTTTTGTGGCCGCAGACGCCTTAGCCCTTTCTCGAAGCCTTTTTCTGGTGGCCAAAAATATTTTCAGGTACACAAATGACATTATAGCGAGAGGAATATAGAATGAACCACAGGCGGAATATATTACGAAGCCCCTTTCCTCCGTCAGATGGCACTGTCCACTCTCGGGATCGAGCAAACTCCCGTGTGATTTGTCACTCCATCCAAACAATGGAGGTACCGAAATGACGGCGCTCGTTACCCAGGCAGCCACTATCATAAACGACACACGCTTTATCGTTCTTTTAGCAGCATAGTTTAAAGGGTCATGTATGGCGAAGTACCGATCCATAGCAATAACACATATATTTAAGATGGATGCCGTGCACAATAAAATATCAAATGTCAACCACAGGTCACAAAATGCAAATCCGTAAATCCATTCGTTGAATAATATATTGGAGATATGAAACGGCATGACGAGTATGGCCACAGCCATATCGGCCACTGATAGAGATATAATGTAAAAGTTCTGAACGCTCCTCAGCGGTTTATATATAAAAATGGCGGCCACCACGTACATATTACCTACAAGAGTTAGGACGATCAGGAATGACATGAATACTGACGTCACGTAACCCTCCCAATTAGTGTTTGGCGGGAAGGAGACATTACTGAAATTATTCGCCATTTTACCTTCTGTTTTCCGCTGCTAATGCTTGTCGAAGCTAACACATGGAATCCTGAATTTTCACTGACTTTAAATCCCTTAAAAATAGAAATCTACATATTGTTCCAGCTCTCAAGGATTGTTTTTGACATGTTATTTGTCTCCATTGAGCACATCATGTTATGAAGCCAGGCCCAACGTGTTGTGTTCGATAATCGATGACACACTTTCCTCAAGCTATAGCACTCAATTTCTCATAAAGCCTGGTCATACACAGATAAACATATGTACGTTTGTCCTAATCACAAATAGGGTCGTTGATCTACCTTACCACGTCAAGGAATCAACATGCTGTGTCAATAATCCGGCAATTGTAAAGCGCATCGACCCTTTAAAGAGTTATTTTTTCACTGTTTCTTTTAAGTATGCAGGTCAACAGTTAAAAAGAGGATGGTTTAAACACATCAACTTCAATGGAAAAAAAATCCCTCACTTCATGTAGTGGAAAGCAGTGTTTAAATGCCGAATGATTAAAAAATATTCCAAGAGACGTATACAGTCAAGTTTTAATTTGATTCACGGCGCCTTTAGTTGACTTGTTACTTGTAATTCTTCGCAATCAACTGATGGTGTTTGTTTGATAAACAGAAGATCCGACTGATCAGTTTGTAAATAAATTGTTATTAAACAAGCCGAGTTTTTTCTAGTGTATTTTTAACTGATATCTAGAACAGAATAGACATCGATTGCAAAAAGAATTAAAAAGGAGATGTTTCGGGTTATTTTAAAACCATGAATAATTGTATGCGTGCCTTTCTTACACAAAACTATCGCAAAATGTTATGCATCTACTTTGAAATTGTAAGCTTCTTAATGCTGTTGTCATTTCATCCATTTCTTGCCAAATAGTACACTTCAAGCTGACATAGATGCGTGTTCGTCTGCAGTGTTTCTCAATAATGTCCCTCGACGCCACTCACTTACAGATTCGGCTTACCTATTCCGGATTTAATGGCAGTGTCGTGTCAGACATTACAATAATCCCGAAAAGTTTTGATTAGTTCTTATGTTTCTGTACGATAAACAATCAAAATCACCATAAATTCCGGTTTTTCTTACCGGTTCCGTGTAATATGTTATCAATGCTGTGTGTTGAAGAATTAAGTCAGTCAGTTGGACTGCACGAACGCTGTGGCCGGGCTATATATTTTTAAATTGTCAAACCCGTCAGAATGGCCTCGCTATCGATCTGGTAATGACGAATACCATAAAATGTCTTTGAAACTTGGTGAGAGCGTCTTGGTATAACACGCTCTATATGGTGAAGTATCTAGTAGTTATTTATACGGATTCCCGAATGTTATACACTAATGCCTCTATAATCCCCTTCAATACGTTGACAATTTATCTCGTCACTCACAAAGCTTTTACATATAACGTATTTCCGTTAAGCAATTTCAACTTAAGACGCGAAAAAAGGTTTTCGATTTATTGTCCAGCGAAATGGTGAGGAATTAAGACGTGTTTGCTAGTTCGTTTGATGACGATAACGACAGAAAACTCAGCCACTGTCACATCCGGGGATGTTGTACTGAAGTAGTTTTCCACCAAAAGAGCCGGTCGTCTTGTAAATAAAGTACGTCAAATGTTCTCGATCTTTCTGTCTCTTTAAGTAAGATCGTGACTTCTATGTACTCACACTTAATACACAGGTAGATGGCTGAAACACTTTTTAGTCTCTTTAAGTAAGTTTGTGACTTCTCTGCACTGTAAGTAAGTCTGAAACACTGGATACAGTTTTGTTCGACGGATTGTTCTATTAGTACCTTATTTATACAATAAGATAAATCATTTAACGCTATAATGCATTGACCTTATAGATGTAAGTACCTATAACTAGGTCAACTGTTATTCGAGTTCTTTTAGGCATCTATACATTTCCTGCTGAGATCAAAGATTTTTAACAATTGTCTTGAAGGTTGGACATGTTTCATGCCCGTGTTCTCCACGTGAGTGTAGATTTTCACGTTATCACGTGCTCAAGTTGACGAAACCCGGGGCTCTTAATTGTGAGGAGAAACATTGTTCGTATGACGACGTTTCCCGCCAGTTTGGAGGTCGATGATGTTGGGTACCACCGTTTCCCACCACAATGTGCGCTGCTGATGCTGAGGTCCTGGATTTGCCGCCTAAGTCAGTGACCAGTCGCCTGTAAAACACGAGATCACATGTTCATTGATTGCACAAGGAAATCAGGACACACGCCAACTATCAGCACTCGATGATTAGGAACCGGCAAAATCTTGATATAAAGCAATAATTAGTCGATAACATCTATTTCATATGTCATAATCAATTTCTGCATTTAGTTTTACTACTTGATAATATAAGAGACGGACCATTCGATAACATAGTTTTCTGTAAAAGTGCATTTTTGTCGCTACAATAAAAACGAAACGAACCGTCATATCAGAAATAAATCAGAAGCTTCAATGCAATGTTATCTATTGTATTGCTTCCAACTTTACACTAAACCCTCATATATATGTTTAGCTGAAGTGATAATGCTTGTAAAGAAAAACGACGTAATTTACTTATAAAGTAGTAAGTAAACAAGGATAAATATAGCACATTTTCAATGCACAAAGATAACATCAGAAAACGAAGTCTGTACGAAAAAAGACAATAACAGGAACTGATGTGACAAACAAAGGATGGACATCATTAGCTCATACAGAATTCTAAATATAGAATTTGGTTCCGGACATAATGTTCGAAAATAACATATTCTTTTAACACTATTTCTTATTTTAACGAGGGTATATTTGGTGCCATATTTTACGTTGTTATATTAAAGTGTTTGTCTTTCGGGGACTTAATTCTTAAACTTGAGATTTTTCCATAAACAAACATTACAGAAGTTCGGGAATTATATTACTTTAATCAAATAATGATTTCCTATTGATAAACTAAAGTAAAACATTTCCATGCGGTAACGAAACCGGGGCCAGAAAGATGGTTTACAGTGGTTTCATACATTTGGATTGCTTTGTTTCAGTACTGTTGTACAAAATGTTAAGTTCTTTTTTTCTAAAGAGCGGACAATTGTGTATTGGTCCGTACAAAAGCAAATGATATTGCAGTATGAGAATTAAATGTAGCATCGGTCTGTCACAACAATGGACCATATGAATAAACATTGCTCAGAACTTGGTCAGTATCTACAAATACATCTGAGAGGTCGGATGACCCCGTTTTATACGTATGCTTCCTTCCAAAGCAAATATAACTAGGGTTCATGGACTGTTGTTTCCTTTCCCTAGTGTAACCAGGAACACTCTGTACCATCCTTCAGAACAATACGGCGAGCTAGCGCATAATAAAGTCAATGTCAGTCAATGTGTGAAGGCGAGCTGTAAGAGCATGTTGTACGGGCCATTACAAACCGCATATCGGTCAGGGGAGATAGAGCTAGAACATCTGTAATAGCTTATTGATCTAACATTGATGAATGACCCAAACATACGTCAAAATTCTTCATTTATTTCCTTTTTTTTTATTTTTTATTTTTTTGCATCCTATCCTTTTGGAGAGAGTAAAATAATGAAAATAAATATGAAAAAAAAAAGAATGAATATATCCATGAAAATGTATCAGCGAGATGATTGTGCATGGTGCATTTAAAAAAAAGCATACATCTGTTATCCTTCTCTCTGCGAATCACTTTCGAACCAACTGTCAATTGTCAGTTGAAACCCAGAGTCGCGAAAAACTAGCACTCGCTTAAATAAGGAATTTGCTATTACTGTTGGCATTGTAATGCATATGGATAGTGATATCCTAAGCATTTGTAGGTTAAGTAAATCCATACTTCATGAAGTCAGTAAGTTAGGTGACGATATCCTCAAGAATATCCGGAATATCTGTACCATCACAATATTAAAACCGTAAAAGAGGAGATATCTTCAACAAATTGTTTAGTGAAGGAACCCTACACCATCAGTAAGTTAGGTAGAAGTACACTCTCTGTTATTCTGTAGAAATGTTTTGTTTGGTTTAATTTTGTTTAACGTCCTATTAACAGCCAAGGTCATTTAAGGACGTGCCTCCAAGTGCATAGTGTATGCGTGCTTGAATATGTGTATGCAGGATACAGGGTATGTTGGTTTGCTTGCCTCCTTGTGATAGCGCGTATCTGATGCCGACTTCATAGTGCTATATCAATGAAATATCATAAAACCAGCACAGCATTGCAACCGGTCACATTAAACTGACAACGGGTGAACCAGTTGTTGCCATTCCCCTAAATGCTGAATGTTAATTAGGGAATAACAACTACCATTTTTTTATGACTTTAGCCTTCCTCACCTGGGCGAACGCTCATCATTCAAGCCAAAAGTGAGGTGTTACCAAACAATGCGCTAGGAAATAAAAGGTAGTTAGAAGTAGAAGGAAAGATAAAGATCCCAAATATTGCAATGGGTACAGCAGATTTATTTTGGTCGCCTTTATGTCCCCAAATAGAGGACACCAAAGTAAATCCTATTCTACAGGGGGTTCCCGCATTGGTCGCCTCCTACGATACTTGCAGTCGGTAACAGCATGTGCATTCTTTTCCCGATATCCCACCTGCAGGGGTGTGTAGAAATGTAATAACTACTAGTAGCACTATGCTCTTTGGCAGTTCATCATTCCTTATTATATAGTTTAGTTGAGTAGAGATATAGAGAATAATGCATGCATTTTTCCATGTCACACCCAGTACCAACCCGAGACTGCAATATCAGCCCGAGGGCTAATATTGGTCGAGGGTTGATACAGGGTGTGATATGGAAAAGGGCATGTTTTATTCTGTTTATTGCATACTTACTTATAAGATACGGAAAGATCTTCTATCTTATGATCTATTTTCCAAAAGAGATTTGATACGTGTTTTACGGGCTGATACGGAGAGGGCTGATACGAGTTTAGGGGGGTGATACGGCAAAGGCTGATATAGGTTAAAGCAATTGTGTCGTATTGCATATATATATATATATAAAACGTATTTTTCAGTAAGTATGTAATAAAATTTTGTATACCGGGGAACTTTAGCCCAGTCAAATATTCACCCTTTTCCGATATAATCCATGGTTTGCAATTCACATGTAATTACTATACATTGTATGTTGCATACTAATATTCGCTGTCATGATCAATTCGCCCTCATGGCGAAAAAGGCGAAAGATAAATCACTCGATGATATTTAGGGCATATGTAGTCGGATTGAAGCTTACGACGTAGGTGTCCGAATTTTCAAGTATCAACGGAGTCCTTCTGCTCAACTGTTCAGTGACAAATGGGCTGTGTCTAGCTGATGTCAGCAAGTACCAAGTAAACTTGACAAATCGGACGTTAATACCCCGTATCTATACCGCAGCTGGGACTATAACCTAATATCTACGAGGGACGCCTAAGCGATAGGATTTCATTACAAACCAATGTATGACGAATTTATGATCGAACACAAATGGATCTTCGAGACAAAAACTATAACCTCTTTGGTATCTTTGTCTCTCCTTTCTTGTAAGGATCTCTGAGAGCCTGTCTTGTTGACAAGAGCATGCTCGAGTGCGAGCTAGAGAAGAAAGGTATGGTGTAATTCATGTTACGTCGCAAATGAGTTACAATTTCATATGGTAATTATATAATTTAAGCGAAACGAATATATCCATTTAGCGGGATCTACCGTTGGGATATTCTACTGCTATACGGTAAGGATGAGTTCCGTAAATAAAATTTATGAAAAATAACTTAAGGATATCTGTATCATCTCACACAGACTTTAAATGTTTTTAAAGGAGATGCCATGACGTTTGTGAATCCTGTCACTCACAATGTCACAAAGTGACATAAGTCAATTGTTTTATGACTATGCCGGCAACCCTTCGCCTATTTCGGTACACATTTCTCAGACTTTGGATTGGGTTGTTTGTGTTTCACGTCCTATTCACATATATGGGCATCTCTCAGACAATGTTGTCGTTCTTGCTTTATCGGTAAATGTTTTGTTAACGCTTATTTTGTATTTGAAATAGTATGCTTAATTATGACTATTAAAGTTTCTGTTTAAAGTATATATTCCATATATGTGTTATTGCGCCAATTCCTCAACCTATACAAAAATCGATAATGCGCTAAAATATGTGTGCGCTGCAACAAGTAGGTTTATAGTATACAGTTCGAATGCAATTGCTTTAAAACTGCACGCGCGAATCAAAAGATAACTTTCATGGTAAATTCGTAATATATGTGCATATAATTACATGCAACTGTAAAGCTGCACGCGATAATGTAAATTTGAGTTCCGTACAAGGGTATATTTCGCCACGCTATCAATGTTGAAAAAATATGAAATACAGAAAATAGTTATTTGTCTTCCTTGTTGAATACACAAGAATTCACCACCCTAAGAAAGGCAAACATCCGCCGAGTCCGACCATACGAGTTAGAAAACGTTGCCTACGATCAACTCGAGCGCTCGTCAGCGCGTGACATCGAACGGTCGTACATCAAAGACCGTGAGCACAATACGACAACCGGACATGTCGCTAGCTAATCAAGGCGATATGATATGGAGATATAATAAAACAAAATAATACTTTATTGAAAACAGCCTGTTATATGTAGATGCTCCATGCATTGCCATTTCATATGTGCGAAATTAAGTCTAGAAGGGTTATTTTTTAACCTTTCATGTTATTAAAGAAAATCTTGCCATTTTACATACAATGCGGGTTCCACACCATGATGAGGATAAAATTAGGCAATTAAAACACCACGGTCGCTATTAATGGAATCAGCAGTTTAAAGGACAGACTATTGAAGATGAGATCAAATATTCATTAAGTGTTATTTGCAGCTCTTTGTACAGAGTTAATTTTAATGTAGTATAATAATCACAGACTCTTGACGAAAATGTCCAGAAGCATTGGATACTATCAGGAATCTGAAGTTATAGTGGGATGAACCTCTACACAGCGATGATACATTTTTTTTTTTAGTATTGGCACGGTATAAAATACGCACACTTTACTCATTATTAATTTTAAAGTAACCAGCACTCCTCTGATTTTTGAAATGAATATATGTCAAAATCAATTACATTGCATTATACAGCCATTTCGTCTAAGACTCCTTGGTTATGATTGGGGCCAAAAAGGTTGGAAA